TGGGTAGACTAGAGAAACAAACCTAGGGAGACTCATATGTGTATAAGAGAGAGCTTTATAAAAAGGGTAATTGTATATCAAGAAAGCATCCCAGCCCAGTCTAGATCAAGTCCATAAGTCTGATATTAATCTTTAGGTATGATACTCATCCATAAATTCCTATTTAGGCTCACAAAGCACATTCAATGACACTAAATGCAGGAAGATCACAGGCCACTGGATTGAAAGTCTTGTGGATCCAGTGGCGGTGGAAGGATCTCAGTGCTGGCGTGGGTCTCCACGTGGGTCCTCTAGCCCCAGGGCTCTGGCTTCATCAGTGACAAGCTCCATTTGACTTGTCAACAGTAATATCTACAGGCAGCATGTGTGTCCCACCTCCAGGGAGGAAAAAGAAGTCCCCAGAATCCTTAGGGGAAGGCCATGCCCACACAGAGGCATGATTGGCTATGACCTGATTGACAGGCTAGACTCCACCCCTTCACTCAAGTTGACAGGAGATTATGTAACTGCCACAGAACTGTCTTACTACATATTCCAAATTTCAGAAGTGGCTCACCTAAGTGAAAGTTGGAGTGGCTTACTGAAGAGTCAGTGATGGTGCTTAACAGGAGAGAATGCCCAAGGAGGGTGAAATTGTGTCTTAGAGGATGGAAGATATGCACAGTTGTTCTCTGAACACATGGGGGTGGAGTGGTGACCACCATCTGTTGGAAATGACAATAGAAGGTTTGGTTTTCTATGGTACAGTGTCTCCCATAGCCAGAGTAAGTGGGCCATGAAATCCAGGAAAGGAAGTGTGAGTGGTTCCTCCCACTATGAAACTGAATCCACTTGCAGAATTTTTTGTTCCTGTTCCATTAACTTTGAGATATCTTGGAGATCTTAGACTCCAAGAGGTGATTGTTTCTACCAGGGAACCCAGCAATGGTTCCTCTGACTTGGAAGCTGAGATTTCCACCTGCCATTCTGGGTTCCTTATACCTCTGAACCAATAGGTCAAAAAGAATTAATCTACTGGGTCAAGTTATT